TGCGTCTGTCATATAATACATAACACATTTCCGTCGCAGTTTTTTTCCCAGCAACTACTTATATTGCAGATGCTTAAAATTTAGCACATACTTTGTTGTGGCATGCTATATGATGGAATTTATTTTTGTATAAATCTGATCTCAACTTCCTATTTGTCTCTGCATATGCCCGTAACTGAACTTGTGTAAATTTTAATTAACATATCAAGGTATTTTCACATCAGAGCAGAGTAAGTACTGTACAACATGCAATTTTTTACGAATATTGGAAACGTTGACTCGATAACGAAATCATTTATATTCAAATTAAACTACATCTTCTTAAACACGATATTGCCGTTTCTTAAGTTTTTTCGTTTCTAACTGTGTATATATCTATGTACATGTATTTTTTATTGCTGTGTAAGGCGGAAACAATAAGGTTGTATTTTTACGAATTTGAATTTAAATAAATCGAACATTAAATAAATTAAAACAAAGCTTTATGAACAAAACCTCTTTTCTCTTCAGTTGTATGAGTATGAATTAACTTTTTTTGTATTTTTATCCGTTCCTTATTTCGATTTCTGCACACATTTTTATCAATTATTTACATAAAATATTCATGTGTCGAATTTCATAAATTTTGGATCAAGGGTCTAATCTCACACAAGATTGGGGGATATCTACATCACCAACCCAGTGGTTCAAGTGGTGAGCTTATTTAGTGTAAAAAAAGATCTTTTTAATGTGTCTCCCATCCCAAGTGATGTCTAATAAATCGAGCGACTGGGGCATATTAGAACGAGGAAAAATATTCTTATTTGCGAAATATATTAGAATGGAATTAAAAAAATATATTATTTCTCACTTATTGTCATACCATCAAAACTTTACGCGGTATCAGAGCAGAAAACGTCAAAAAAAAAAAAACGCAATGTGCGTTAAAGTGCGTGATTTAAGGAATCACTGTCTAGTTTTGAGAGTATGCCAGGGCATCAACAATAGTGGGAAACATGGGATAATTTGCGAAGCCCGTTATGCTAAAATTATCCCATGTTTCCCACTATTGTTGATGTCCTTGGCATACTCTCAAAACTAGACAGTGATTCCTTATATTTCCATTTCATTGTGAAATAAATTTGTAGACTAAGACATTTAAAATGTAGACTAGTTTACACGAGGACTTCCATGCCAATTTCAATAGTCCTCACACACTGACGTCAAACAAAAAGTCAGCTGCACGAGATTTTCAGGCCTCCTTAGCGTCAGGCACAGAGACAGATGCGCACGAGATTTGCATGCGTATTAGGCCTCCTTAGCTTCTGACCTATCGACCTGCCTAATTTACATTCCGGCAGAATTATCAAGAAATAAATTCCCCCAACTTTTAAACAGTTATCACAGAGAAAAAAAATTAGAAATGAAAATATTGTGGGGTAAAGGTATATGCGTTAAGATGCGTGATTGTGGGGCAACGGTATATGCGTTAAAATGCGTGACTGTGGGGAAAGGGGTTAAACTATAAGATTAATTGACGAAATTTAGACTTTAAAAACGAACGGATTTTTGATCATTTACGTCATATATTCAAAATATTTAATTCCAGCCTGGTTTGATTTTTGAAACTATTTCAAAATTTCATTCGGTCAAAGTTTAAAGTTAATTATTCGATCAAATTTTATTTTCATACATATTATAAATGTAAATGACATTACCTAGAAAATATACATATCTAAATTAATTGGTTTTAGCTTTTGTACCCTTACTTCCACCCTAAATTTAGACACGGGTACAATATTTTCTAATCAAAAGTCATGTGTCGAATATCCAGCATAAAAATCCAATTAACAATTCAACATTATGATAGGTACAGAAGAATTTACATAATCATTAGACATTGTGCCATATTATAGTTAAGCAGTTTAAAAACATTAGTCATATATCATAACAAATTGTTAATACTTTTTGTACTTGTACAATCTATCCACTTTAGTTGATGTTGATACTTTTTCAATATTCTCTTACATTCTTAGTTCTGACACTGCTCTCACGGTAGAGTGGGAAGATAGGGCCTGTAAACCGGTTAACCAATCCAATTGCTTGATATATCCATAGCAGTTTTAGGCGTCTTAAGTCCTCACCGTAATTATAGTGGAATCGAGTAATAATGTAGTGTCTTATATTAAATTTCCAATTATTGGTTCATTTTAGTAAGGGCATGGTGGACATTGTCTCAGGGTATGATTAAATCTCATTTTTGTCGTTCTCCACATGTTTTTGGGTAACATATGTCAATGGGAACATAAAACTTTATTTTCCGCCCGTCGACGCCACTTCCGGTCAAACTGGAAGTAGCCAAAAATAAATCATTTTGAAGGTTTTGATGCAAAATTGAAATTACAAAATTACTGAAGACCACTCATTTCATTGCTTTCTTTTGTTGACGTCAATTCCGGTACTTCCGGTCAAAACCTTTGCAACAAGCTTGCAATGAGCTTTGCTCTAGTTTTCTTATTTTTTTCTTACCGATTTTGTGCACGCGAGTTTTCGGAAACGGCTCGATGGATTTTCATGAAACTTTCTGGTGTGATAGAATACAAAAAAATTTAGAAATTATTTTTTTTCATTTTGATGACGTCACTTCAGGTTCGGAGATTTTCGTGATTTTGTCATTGTCATTTTAGAGGGTAACTTTGTCCGGCAATATTCCCAAATACAGTCGAAGATAGAAGTATGAAATTTTCAGTGATTATAGAGCAACATTTGGATGTGCATTGAGTATATCATTGTCACCGGAAGTACGAAGCGCGATACGGTTTTAAAATAGACCTATTGTGAATTTCAAAATTTCTTACACCTTTTCTACAATATCTTTTTTATCTAGAAATATCTTGTTAAAAGATATATAACGAAAATTGTGAAAAATCCTGGGATCTTTCAAATGATATCTCTTAAAAAGGGCTGACCCCTTAAATAAGGGATCTACCGGGGCCAAAAGTTTTTTTTCTTGATATCTCAAAAAGTATTGAGAATATGAAGCAAAATTGCAAAGTTGTTCAAAATGTCAAGTTTTTTTTCTATTGAGGTCGTCAAAATACGTCCGATGACATCACTTCCGACCAATCAAAAAGTAGTCAACAACTGCAAATTTTAGCTTAACCCATTTTTGTCATTCTGCCAATCTTAAGCTTGCTATTTTTAATGAAAAATTCATATGCGCCGATAATTCATTTGCAATTACATAAAACATTTTTATCGAATAATACAATAAGGATTGTGCAACAGGCAAGGCCTATGTACACTCTCTCCTTGTCAATTCATTCCTTTGCAGTGATATATATTTATACCGTAATATTGCATTTTCAAAGGCATTGGCTTTGAAAAACTTAAGCTTGGTTATTAATTCCTAGGCCAACTTAAATAGTTTTTAATTTCACAATTTGGTGATTTTTTACAATAACTTTCATCTACTTGAATGAGAAAGAAATCTCTAGTGCAGAAATACAAAAAATATGTGGAAAATGTGATAATTTGGCACAGTTCCAACAAATTCCCTTAATGTCCAATAGTAAAATTTGACAACATTTGAAATGACCCCTAGGAAGTCGGAATAGTAAACATTCGATCTTTAAATCTTAAATTAATAAATATAACAGTAAAAATTCATTATCAAAAAATTATCAGAATTCCTGGAGCAGAAATTATTAGACTCAGTCTCAGTAGTCGTTCCACAACATTCCATTTTTATTTCTAACGCAAAATCACGTATATACTGTTTCCCTGCAATCTAGCATATTCACCACCTTTAAAAAGTTCATTTAATCTTCAATTTATTGCCAAAGTCCTTCCATTTTATACTTGATTAAATCTCATAAAATAAGAAAAGATATTTTATTATTAGAATATTGCGCCATAATATTATTTACGCTAAACTTTAGAGAATCTTGTATCATGCTACAAAGTTCTTCCGGGGAAATGGTAACGTATAATTTCTATGTCGTGGGCATAAAGTGTGAGTTGCGTCACAGATCAGTAAGTTGTTAATCAATTACGAACACGCCATAGCATTTGTGATATCTGGATAGGTTGATTCCTTAGTTTTGTTTTGGGGATTGGTGCACCGCAATAAAAAGCCTTTTTTAAAAGAGATCCTTACCTTTTAACAAAAATATTGCATAAAATAAAATCTTTAACAGATTTTTAAATGTTCGTTCACTTGATTGCACTCCTCTCATGGTTAATTTGAGAGGCTGGGCCTGTAAACAGATTACTGTATACAGGGTTATTTTCACCCCGACTTATTTTCGCCCTTTCACACTTGCAAACAATTTTGCCCTGTCTTAAATTCGCCCAATCAAAGTTTTGTTTAAGAAAATGTACTGTATTATTTGAATTCACCCCGTTTTAAATTCGCCCAAATGATAGTAGCCCAGGTTAAAGCGGCGAAAATAAAACGGGGGCGAAAATTTTCTTGTATACAGTAACACATCAACTGTATGACTTGGTCGTGAAAGTTGGCAGTCCTAAGTCGGCAAGTGGTTGTAGTGTGATCGAGTTTTTTGTGGTGTCTTGTTTGAAAGTTTCCAATTTATGGTTCATTTTGGCACTGACATGGTGTTGTCGTATGACATACTTTGATTTCCTCTTTCTTTGTTTATTGGTCGATGGCGTGGCGCAGTGGTTAAAGCGTTTGCTGTAGAGTCGCAAAGTAAGGAGTTGATCCTTATATCGCGGGTTCGAATCTACCTGTGGGATGTTGAGACCGGTCCTTCTGATAAGACCGTATAAACCGACGTCCGTGTCACAGTGGTAGCGATTTAATATGAGTAAAAAAAATCTCGAAAGGGACGTTAAGCAACATACATTCAATAAATCAATCTTTGTTTATTGTTTTAACCTTAAATAATCTTTTTCATTCTTTAATCATTTTTTTTCTTTGCAGATTGATCATGAAGATTGCCTTGTTGTTGTTAGTTGTAACATCTTGTACTGTGCAATTATCGTTTGGTGATTCAACAATGGATATGATCAAGCAGGGCATAGAAGCTGGAAATAAAATAGCAGAGTTGCTGGCAGATCAAGATGTTGCAGATTTCGGAGCATCTTTGATTAAAATTTCGGGAAAGGTGACGAAATATTTAGAGGCTTTTTCGCCCGTCTTAGGACTTTTTCAAATGCTACTTCCTGATGATCAATCTAATGAGATTGAAGAAGGATTCGCAAGGATGGATGCAAAATTCGATCAATTATTTAATAGAATTGACGACTTGGGAGACGAACAACAAAAAATATCACTCAAAACACAATTTGGAGCGTATGAAAAAAAAATAACGCTCTTTTCTAAAAGACTTGACGATTACTTGAAGTCAAAGGGAAAATCAGAAAATATATTCATGGAGACTTATGATAATAAAACCTTTGACGAAAACGTAAGGCAGTTGTATATGGCTATGATAAAACCTGCCTCAGGTCCTCTTAGTGATTCGATTCCTGCTCTAGTACGAGAGTTTACGAACGAGAATCGTAAAGATACTGAGATGGTTATGAAAAGAATACTTCATTTGATAATCCAGGGAGCCGCAATCGAAATGGCCTATTACAGCCTTACAGATGACGAAGAAAGATACAACAAAACAAAGCACGATTGGGAAGAAAAAATTTTTAAATTGATAGATCATATCAGGGAAATAGATGAAGATATGCGATACAATTACATGGATCAAGTAAAAGAGGACATTTCAGTGCTGTCAGCAAAAATGTATGGAAGATCAAATAAAGACTTTGCAGACACATTATACAAATTCCTCTCGCAGAAATATGAATGGCGTAAATGGGTAGTCGTTGTGTTTAACGCCGACGTTCCAAACAAAATTAGACTGGCCCAAAATGCGATCCAACAAACACCCCATGGCAGAAACGTTATTGTGGCAAGTTCCAGTAAAGATCGAGAACCAGATATAAGTAATACCAAACGCCTATTAAAAGGGGTTCCTTCAGGATACAGATGGAGTGAACATGTTGGATGGTGGGAAAGAGCTTGGCACTTTACATACTACGACGCCAATCAGCTGTTTAATAAAATACCAGGAAGCATCTTAGGTTCTTCGGACTATACTGTAGGAGTGGTAAGGAAATACAGGTCGGATCTTGCCATCAGTGGCGCCGCTGATAGATACGCCCTGGTTTCTAAACAAAATTATATGTATGAAACTACTAGTGATAATTTGCGTGCTGAAGACGTAAGGTTTTGGATGTTTGCTATCTTCACAGATAAAGAAGTTAAACCAGTTCGAGACGATGAAACCTAGGCCATGTCTGTTGGGATGTGAAGAAGAATAATGAGCCCTATCGAATAATGTCCGGAAGTGATCTTTCAACGACACTTGTAGAAAAAAATCAATTTTTTTGGACAAATTTTATTTTTATATATGTTAGTCCAATTAAAATTGAAAACATTGAAATTGTTCTTCCTTCGATTAATTCATGCATTTGTTTTGCCCCTGAAAGAAGGGAAGGCATGTTGATTTGCTGCTGTGTGTCGGTCTGTCGGTCCACGTAGTCTCCGTTCATTTCCTTCGCAACTGTTGCACATACTGAATTGAAATTTGGTATACAGACTAATCACATAAATATATCTAGGTCAACTTTTGTTTTGGGTACGATCGCACCATTTTGGACAGAGATTTACCCCTTGGGCTTAAAAAAATGTCAATTATTTTTAGTTTCTATCATAATTTTTTTGCAACCGATGCACATACTGAAATGAAATTTGGTATACAGATTTATCAAATAAATATCTTGGTCAGGTTCTGTTTTGGGTACAATCGCGCCATTTTTGACTGGGATTTGCACTTTTGGACCTAGAAAAAATTACAATTGTGTGTGTGTGGGGGGGGGGGGGCGCAAAAGTGTTTTACAAACATCTCTTGTTATGCCCCCGCTTGGACATAATGTGAGAGGGGGGTATTATTTAGTGAGCTCATTGCTCACAGTACCTCTAGTTTGAATAGATTTGATCTTTGTTCTTCTTGCAACGTACGAGGGTTGTCCCAAAATTTCGTAGACTGAGCTCATATCTGTTAAAGAAATTAATGTATCTTTGAAAGAAATTAAAAGAAATTAATATATCTTTATAAATTTTTTAGGGTGGATAAAGGATGTTAAATTAGATAAATTAGTTTCATCATGTTTACTTGAAAACTTTTCGAGTGATACCATTTAAAGTGATATAGTTCTGTAATACCCGGAGCAATCTGCAACGTCAAAAATACAAATGTCAACGGTTCAAATTTTTGGAGAAAATATTTCTATTACCAGAATCAAATTCTTAAATTAAACGAAACCGTTATAGTTATAAATATAAAATATAATAATTAGTATGATACTATCAAACATGTAAAAATTTAAACAAAGTATATTGTAGTGCAATTGTGTATTTGCGTCGGGTTCGGCGTCTCAGTAATTACATTATGTTGTTCTAAAATTAAACTCTGAAGCTGACGGGCGTGTTCTTGTCTTCTCCCGGGTTTTTGGAGCCAAGTGGTGCCAAACTAGGACCCACACCATTGCCAAAGCACCACATTGGTGTCAGAAGTGTTTATTAATATCATATATTTATGTGTATCCTTTTATTGTTTGGAGGAAACGCTGTTTCTCCGTGCTGAGCCAGTCCACGTGCTTGCGTTACAGAGAAGTGTGAACCCGTTCTCTGTCGGACACGCATGCATCGTACTGGGTGAGGCCAATCTGATTAATAAGTTGTTATTAAATATCAGAATTATGTGAATCCGCATTCTGTTTATTTTTCACAGTCACTGGTTAAAAAAAAAACTTAAAAAAAATATTAAAAATAAAAATTGCTATAACAGTATTCTTTATAAGTCATATATATTTCAGTTATCGGTTTTATGTCAAAAATAAATTATCTTCGTTTTGATGAGCTCAAAAAACATAACAATTTTTTTGGAAAAAAATCCACTGCCGTCAACTTCCTGTGAAAAGCTACCAGTACTCATTTCAGATAGCCTTGGAGATACATTGAGAAGAAACAGAAATTCTTCAGGAATTCCACTGCAGTTTCTAACGTACCCAGGGGCAACGACTGCAAGTGCTATTGACAAGGCAATTCCGGAACTTGAAAAATTATTCCAGGAAACTAGACCACTTGTTGTTTACGTTCTATTGGGAGTGTTTGACATTACACAGAAAGTTGGACATTACAGACATAAGCACATAGAACTGCGTTACAATAAAGTAGGTTCAGCAACTGCTCACATATTAGAACAATTTCAAAGACTCATAAAGTCTGTAACTTCGAAACAAGGGTCATTAAAGTTCATTACCATTCCTGTATACTCAGCTAAGGCATACAACTCCCATCTTGGTCATAGACATAGACATCCTGAATCTTTCCAAAGTACTGATAATCAAATCAAAGAGGAGGTAACGCTACTCAATCGCAGTATTTGTGAATTGAACGACACATTAGGCAGGAATACTCTCCAGTTTCACTTGGATATTGTGAAGGTCAGGGGTAAGGGTAGACAATCCATTAATTTACATCTCCTGAAGGACGGTATACATCCAGATCATTTATTATCAAGGAAGTGGATACGACGACTAGAATTAGACATTGTTAAAGAGTGTTGGAGTGACCCTACGCCTGACGTGTTAACAGTTTCAGTGGACCCACAGGAGTTGCTCAACTTGTAAAGATGTCAAAAAACGAGGCTAGTCAGGAGGAAACAACAGCACAGAAGACTGGTATCATCGGAGAATTGCAGGAAGACCATAACACATCAATGCCATTGGTGGAAGAAAAGACCATTGCTGTACTAGAGAGGGTTGAATCAGAATTAGGGGGCCTCTCAATTCATGTCAGAGAAATGACCAATGCCTTACTACGCAGGCAAGATGAAGCAATGGAGAAGCAATCTGAAATGATGCAAGAACAGGTACGGCTTTTCTCCGAAATGACTGAAACTTGCACACAACTTCTAGAGCGCTCAATGAGCCGAGGGGACAGCCCCAGGCAGGCGCCAATACCTAGTCAAAATCTTATGTCAGGACTGATGTGCAGTCGAGGGGACAGCCCCAGACTGTCACGACCAGACCAAACATACATATCAAGAAACTCAGGCATAATGGGAGGACAAAACTTAAGGCCAACTACCTCTACTCCTGTACCTGGTTCAAGTGGTGTGCCATTTCAGCCAGTATTGGACACTACATTAGCAATTTTGAAACAAGCCGTTACCCAGCTTCAGTAGGACAAGGAAGGCAAGAATATTTGCCTCGACAAAAATTACCAACATTTGATGGTAGTGGAGAATGGGAAGGATTTTTAGTTCCTTTCCACAGAGCAGCTCAACGTTATGGATGGTCAGCAGAAGAGAAACTGGACCGTTTCATTGAGTGCTTAAGAGGCCAGGCATCTAAATTTTTATGTAGCCTGCCATCTTCAGTTCAGAATGATTATGCTAGATTACTCAAGCACATGGAAGATCGCTTTAATAGAAAAGACCCTCCAACCACTGCAAGAAAGCGATTGGAGGAAATCAGGCAAAAATCAGAGTCAGATGACGAATTTGCTGAACAAGTCAGACGCTTGGTTTCCAGAGCATTCCCGTCAGTGAGCATTGAACTTCAAGAGGAAATTGCAGCCGAATCCTTTTTAAAAGGATATAAAAATCCAAGGATAGGATACGAGGCCCTGAATAAAATGCCTAAAACTATTACAGCAGCACTGGATATTGTTATACAACTTCAGCACAATTACAGGGCTACATTAGGCCGTGAAGATTTCCAGCACCGTCGCTATTCTAGGAGAGTATCCTGGTATGATGACTTGCATACAGACAGACGAGAAGAAGGGGATTCTGGTGAACAAGTTAGAGCCTTGTCAACTGCTGCATCTGGAGAGAAAACATTGAAGGAAGAGATCATGGAACTAAAAAAGTTAATAGAGAGAAAAGTAGCATTGAATTAATCATCGCAAAGATCACCATCTCCTCAAAGAGGTTGTTATAAGTGTGGTGATACAAACCATTTTCAGAGAAATTGCCCCAGATCGCCATCACGCTCACCAGATAGAAAAGCTGACGCATCAGTTGAGAATGAAGATGAAAAAAAAGATGCTCAAAATTGGAAAAGAGGAAGTGGGATCATCAATCAGAGTCCCAGTTCAAATTAACAGTCATAAAACAAAAGCAGTTATTGATACTGGTGCAGAAATTACAGTTCTATCTCAAGACTTTGTTAAAAAAGTAGATGTGAATTATTCTTGCTCTGACGAGGTCACACTTCTTAATGCAGAAACTAGCAATAAGATGATAGCAGTAAATAATATCAGTGTACGCATTAACTTGGGCAAGTCAACAACCAATTGGAAAGTGTGCATTGCTCCAATCCGTGATGATGTTCTAATTGGAATGGATTTATTGATGGCTGTCGATGCTGTAGTCTTAGCAAGACAGGGGGATTTATTAGTGAAAGGGGAACTTGTCCTGGGGAATACTAATACTTCAGATCAAGTACATATAGCAAGAGTAAGTGTCAGTTCAGCAACCACACTTGCCTCAATGAGTGAAACAATAGTCACAGGTTGTTTGGACAAACCTGACAATGAGCTGGTTGGTGTGCTGGATCCTGCATCTCTGAAGAATGGAGCTCACACAGGATCTGTGCTTGTAAACATGACCGAAAACATCCCTGTACGCATCCTTAACCAAATGAGGTCAGACTAGCTGCAGGTACACACTTCGGGAAGTTAGTTGAAGCCGAGACAGATACTGATAAGAGCCCCATAAACAAAGAGGTACCAGACCAAAAATGCTTAAACCAAGTACCAAATCACTTAACAGGGCTTGTTGAAAAGTCCATAAAGGGCCGTACAGAATCAGAGTCTCGTGAAATAACAAGTTTACTGATTGAATTTCAAGACGTATTTGCTAAGGATGCCAATGATGTTGGATGCTTTTCTCCAATATCTCATCAGATCGCAACTGGCAATGCAGCACCTGTTCGTCAGCCTGTTCGACGCACACCATTAGGATTCCAGAACGAAGAAAAGCAACACCTACAAGGTCTTCTTAACAGTGGAATTGTGGTCCCATCTAGATCTGACTGGGCTTCTCCTGTGGTATTGGTAAGAAAAAAAGATGGTGGCGTCAGATGGTGTATCGACTATCGGAAGTTGAATGACGTAACCCGGAAGGACTCTTACCCCTTGCCAAACATTGAAGAATGTCTGGATACCCTGGCAGGAGCTACTATTTTCTCAACTATAGATTTACAGCAGGGGTACCAC